TCAGTCAGGAGGGCGCTGGCCCCATATACAGAGGGTAGCGGGTTCAAACCCAGCCCCAGCCTAACTGCAACAAAGAAATGGCCGGGCGTTGTGGCGGGCACTTGTAGTCCCAGCTACTTGGGAGGCTGAGGCAAGAGAATTGGCTAAGCCCAGGAACAGAAGGTTGCTGTGAGCTGTGACTCCATAGCACTCTACCCAAGGTGACAAAGTGAGACTCTGTCTCTAAAAAAAAAAAGAAAAAAAAAAAAGAGATGGACACCTATGACTTGAAAAAATGATTTTTCCAGGAAGAGAATAGTTATAGAAGGAAACCAACAAATTCTAGGAGCTCACACATAGGTGTGATTGTATGAATAATGTACATCTGTTTATGGTAACTTTTTTTTTCTTTGCAGTTTTTGGCCAGGGCTGGGTTTGAACCTGCTACCTCCAGGGCTGGTGCCCTACTCCTTTGAGCCACCTGTGCTGCCTGCATATGGAAACTTTTTAAAGGACGAATAAATATGTAAGTCTGGAAGACAGATGAAGACCATACTATATTAAATAGAAGGGAAAGATAGACAAAAATTATGAATTTAGTTATACTCCATTAAAAAAAGATTCACCCTTTAAAAAGAATAAAATTCTGTCATTTTCAACATGGGATATGGGAGGAAGGAAATGTTTGTCAAAGGGTACACTTTCAGTTGACCTATTACATGGCAAGGTGATTATAGTTAATAAGGTACTGTATATTTCAATGTTGCCAAGAGATTTTTAAAATTATTTTTTAATTTAAACTGACAGTTATACGTATTTATGGGGGTGAGTGGATTTAAATGTTCTCACCACAGACTAATTAGCCTGATTTGTCCATTCCACAATGCATACATTGAAACCACACACTTGTACATCATAAATATACACAATTATTATTTGTCACTAAAAATAACAAAAAAAGAAAAAAGATCACTAGAGACAAAGATTGCTAGGGAAAAAACCTTGCTTGTTAGGGATAATATCAATAAAATTCTTAAACTTCGGCTCGGCGCCTGTGGCTGAAGTGGCTAAGGTGCCAGCCACATACACCTAAGGTGGCGGGTTCCAGCGAGCCCGCCAAACAACGATGGCTACAGCCAAAAAATAGCCAGGCGTTGTAGTGGGCGCCTGTAGTCCCAGCTACTTGGGAGGCAGAGGCAGGAGACTCGCTTGAGCCCTGGAGGTGGAGGTTGCTGTAAGCTGTGATGCCACAGCACTCTACCCAGGGCGACAGCTTGAGGCTCTGTCTCAAAAAAAAAAAAAAAAAAAATTCATAAACTTCTGCACAAATACCACAAGCAAGGTCAAGAGACAGAATTGGTAACAGCATGCATAAGGGTTACGAGTAACAATGTTGCCCCCCCCCAAACAAAACAAAACAGAATGTGGCACAAAAAGAGAACTCATGAAAATTAAACATACTCATTAGCAATAAATGTATATAAAAACATTTCATTGTTTCTCCTTAAATTGATTAATCTAAACAAAAAATAACTTTGAAATATGGAAAATGATATTTCATGTACTTTTTCAGTACTTATCAGTACATTTCTGAGAAGTTTTACAAAATATATAAAATGCACATACCCTCTGACCCTGAAATCTCACTGCTGCAAATTTACCTTGAGATAACATCAAATTACAGTATATAGCACCTTCATTAGAATACTAAGTATCCACAGTCAGCAATGAAATATGTAGTACAATCAAGATGCCGCAAGACTGGATGTATGTCTTCCAGTATCTAAAGGCAGGTAGATCTCTGGAGCAGTTAAGGTTCTCTTCAAATGAATTAATTACTACTAAAAGTTAAGTACCTCATGTAATCTTCACGATAATTTATAGATTTTTTTTTTCTTTTGCAGCTTTTTGGCCAGGGCCAGGTTTGAACCCACCATCTCTGGTATATGGGGCTGGCACCCTCCTCCTTTGAGCCACAGGCGCTGCCCCTCCTTTTCTTTGTTTGAGACAGTCTCATTATGTTGCCCTCAGTAGAATACTGTAGCATCACAGCTCACAGCAACCTCAGACTTTTGGACTTAAGGGATTCTCTTGCCTCAGCCTCCCAAGTAACTGGGACTACAGGCGCCTGCCACAATGCCCAGCTGTCTTTTGTTGTTGCAGTTGTTTTAGCTGGCCCAGGCCAGGTTTGAGTCTGCCAGCCTTGGTGCATATGGCAGGTGCCTGACCTACTGAGCTATGGGCACTGCCCTAATTTAGAGATTCTTAAAGTTCACCCATATTCCCCCTTCACTGCCCCTAACTACACAGCCTTCAAGTGGCAGACCTGTTTCTGAAAGCCAAGACACCCCTACCTACACTTAGAAGAATGTTGGTGGTTTTTAACTTCTTTTTTTTTTTTTTGACGGAGTCTCATTTTGTTACTGAGTAGAGTGATATGTCATCACAACTCACACCAACCTCAAACTCTTGGCTTAAGTGATCTCCTTGCCTTAGCCTCCCAAGTAGCTGGGACTACAGCACCTGCCACAGTGCCTGGCTATTTTTAGAAAACAGGGTTTTACTCTGGTTCAGGCTGGTCTCAAACTTAAGTTCAGGCAATCTACCCACCTCGGCCTCTCAGAGTGCTAGGATTACAGGCGTGAGTCACCATGCCAGGCTTCTTTAATGCATATTATTTATTTTCTTAAAAAAAAAATCAAGAAATCCTCAACTTGGGGCGGTGCCTATGGCTCAGTGAGTAGGGCACTGGCCCCATATACCAAGGGTGGCAGGTTCGAACCTGGCCACAGCCAATCTGCAACAAAAAAATAATAGCTGGGCATTGTAGCAGGTGCCTGTAGTCCCAGCTGATAGAGAGGCTGAGGCAAGAGAATCACCTAAGTCCAAGAGCTGGAGGTCGCTGTCAATGGTGATGCCATAGCACTCTATGAAGGGCAACAAAGCGAGACTGTCTCAAAAAAAAAAAAAAAATCCTCAACTGTAATCATATTTAACATTTACAGTAATTATGTGGGCTTATAGGCAAGAATTGTAAATGTGTAATGCTTCTTATAATTAAAAAAACAAGATTAAGAAAACCTAAGAGATCTGACAGCCAAGTTATCTCGCTCATCCTAGGAAAAGTACTACATACCTCCTGGCTAAGTATCACTATGGTCACCAGATGGCCAAGGGGAGTATGACTGTACTTTTTCCAGGGCAAGTTTGAGAACTCAGTTGTCTTATCTCACAAAAATGCTTTGGAATCCCAAGGGTTCTACTTAATTTTTGGTCTAGAGTCTGAGTTCACTAATAATTTATCTAGCTGCTTAACAGTTTGCATTTTACTTACTTGCTCAATCTTGGAGATGTTTGCCTTATTGCATTAAGTTTATTTATTGGCTTATGAAATTTATTTAAAAAGAAATGAACACAAAAAGAAGGGATTAATCACTTACAGGTAGTTAAGATTTGGTAACATAAACTGGACTGTTTCCCTTGTGAACCTGTTCAAGTTTCCACACCCAGCACGTATGCTGGGTAGGTGAATATATGAACTGTCCTGCAGAACAGAGCCAACAGATCTGTAGCCCTAGAGCCCAGCATGCACTGAACTGTCTCTGCTAGTTAAGATGCTAATCTCTTAAAAACAAAGGACTCTGAAAATAAAAACAAGAAAAAAAAACAACACAAAGGACTCTGCCTAATGGTATGATTTCAAACAATCCTGACTATTGGAGGGTAAAGCTAAGTAAAAACGCTTACTACAAAGACCATACAAATGTTCCGCAACAATGACTCAAGCCCACAAATACGATTACTCTGAGTCCTGAAAAGTGGTTCTGTAAACAAGCACAAGCCATACAGATAACTTAACCACTTTACAGATCTTAAACTACCCTGAAATATTTTCTCCTGTTGCTGGAGAACTTCCCATGTCCAAGCAGGAATACCTACATGACCTAACCCATTGGGTTAAGAATTTAATACTCTGACAACACCTGGATGAAGAAACTTTAACCTATCTAAAAGTTGTAAGGCTCAGGGAACTGAGTGCATTTTTAATAGTTCTTTCTTAACCCTCTGTGCTCCAGATACAACTATGGTTGCTTAATGTTCCCTGAATCCACCCCCCATCTTTCTTTTGGAGACAAGAGTCTCACTCTGTTGCCCAGGCTAGATTGCCATGAAGTCTTAGCTCATAGCAACTTCAAAACCCTGGGCTCAAGCCATCCTCCTGCCTCAGCCTCCTAAGTAGCTGGGACTACAGGCATCCATGACAATAACCTATTTTTCTATTTTTAGTAGAGATAGGTTCTCACCCTTGCTCAGGTTGGTCTTGAACTCTTGGGCTTAAGCAATTCACCTACCTGCCTTGGCCTCTCAAGAGTGCTAGGATTGGCTCGGCGCCTGTGGCTCAACCGGCTAAGGCGCCAGCCACGTACACCTGAGGTGGCGGGTTCGAATCCCCAGCCCGGACCCGCCAAACAACAATGACGGCTGCAACCAAAAAATAGCCGGGCGTTGTGGCGGGCGCCTGTGGTCCCAGCTACTTGGGAGGCAGAGGCAGGAGACTCGCTTGAGCCCAGGAGTTGGAAGTTGCTGTGAGTTGTGATGCCATGGCACTCTACCCAGGGGGATAGCTTGAGGCTCCGTCTCAAAAAAAAAAAAAAAAAGAGTGCTAGGATTACAGGTGTGAGCCATCTCAACCCATCCTTCATCTTTAAGCCTCACCAGCAAGACCTGATATATACACCTCCATAACAAAGACTGTCTTACCTTCCTTTTTGATTTTTGAAGCTACACTGGGGTTAATGTGTCACAAATCTCAGTATCAATATCAAATGTATAAAAAATACTTAGAAACCACCTATGAGATTATAAGCTACTCAACTAGTTTAAGGAGTCAGTCAAGAGATGCAATATATGGACACTGAAGAATCATAAAACTGGAAACTGAGCTGAAACACTTTACAAAAAAGATGCACACATATGTACCACTTACATACTACATTTTTACAGAAAAATAGAAAATATGCTTTTAGTTAAAGAATGATTTTATTGTTTGAATTCATAGACAAATTTATGCAACCAGGGCAGAGGCTGTGGATGACTCACTGCAAAGAAAAAAGGGAGAGAGAGTATTGGGATTAATACAGGTCCTCCATGTCCATTCACACAATCTCCCTTCTAATGGAATTAGTTCTAACCAGCTAAAATAATCCCCAACTATGTATAATGAACCCGACTGAGTTCCTGAAAACTGTGCTCAAGCATAATGAAGATGCTCACTCAAACATCCAAGGAAGAACTGGCCAACACAAGGAAAGACCTTTTGGTGGAAACTGCAAATGTTTGGAAATCAATCATCATAGTGAGCATTTCAAGCAAAAATTAAAAAACTACAAACACCTGGGAGCAGAGGTGGAAAATCAAAGTACCCACTACCTAAAAGGGAGTCAAAGGGGCTTGTTCATTCATTGTCTAAACAAGTGTACTGCAAACTGCATCCCTCTGCTTGTCTAAAAGTTTCAATAGAGCACAGCCACACCCATTTGACTATGCTGTCTGTGGCTGCTTACCCCCTACCATTGCAGAAAGAATAACCACATGTGACCCACTAGACATGAAATAGTTGTAATATGCCTTTTATTATATTTGCCATCTATTTACTATCTGGCTGATTCCTGTTCTTGTTAACAAAAAAGGCCATACTTACTATTTCCAATTGGGAGGAAGAACTCGCTTGGTCTTATAATACCGAGCCAATCGATGAATTCGGCTCTCTATCAGAATCAGACGGAATTTAGCATCCTTATCCTAAAAATAAACCAACACAATTCAAGACCACCACCCAAAATGACTAAATATTTTATCAAACATTAGTTTAACAAAGGAATGTAGAGATTTCACGCACTTTCTATGACGAAAAGTTATCCAACACCCTGTAACAGAATCAAAGACTAGGGTTCATGTGGCCAGATTATTTAGGATTCCAAGGTAACACTTAATAGGAACAACTTGCAAAACTCTGCAAAAAAAAAAAAAAGCAAAACCCAAAGCACCCCCATACTCTTAACATTTTCATCCAACTGGATATACTATATTTAGGGGCACCAAAGCCAAAGAAAATCTCTTCTGGTAGAATTTTTATTTCAAAGCAGCTGTAGTGCTCACTAGTTTGTACCCTAGCCCACCTCAGATAATTGAAATCAGATGTATTACATTTTACTGAAATAAGTTAATACAAGCAATTAGTTTTATTTAGTAGTGTGTTTTATTCTCCTACCTTTCTATTCCTCTCAAGATGCTTTCGAACAGCGACCGCTTTCTTAATTAAATGATAGAGATCCTCCGGAAGATCAGGAGCAAGTCCTTTAGACTTAAGGATTCTCAAGATTTTATTGCCTGTCACAAAACGTACTTGAGCAACACCATGCGAGTCTCTCAGGATCACACCTGAAAAGAGAATCATATGTTGTAACTTCCAACACCAAACTATAAACCAGAGCTTGTAACATAAAGGCTTTGATCAAGTCACTTTCCAAACTAACAGATGTACCAAAGCTCACTCAGACATCCAAGGAAGGTTACCCAACACTAAGGAAAACCCTTCTGGTGGAAACTGCGAATGTTGGAAAACCATCATCATAGTGAGCTTGCTGGAATACAGATGACCAAAGCAATCAATAGAATTCCTGTAAGTCCATATATACTACAATTAAAACTAGCTAATATTTAGGAAGAACTTTTATTCATCCAAAGACTTTATATCATTTCTTTTAAAACTCAAATTAATTCTGGCTACCTAAGGTCTGTTATGTATTTTCTTTTTGTATGCATGTGTTGAAACGCGATTGAATTGTATGATCCACACAAGCAGATATATTTTCCTTTTTCTTTGGACTAGTGTATTCTCAGGGCCCAGAACTGCATTCATTAACATTAACAGGCAAATATATGTTAAATGAAGCCACTTGCACAAAGTTACACACCGCTGAGATTCAAACACATTTAAAATTGAGAAAGTGTGTGGAAGACTGCGTAGCAAATTCTAACTACTTAATAGTCGTATAATTTGGGGCTAACATTTAACTGCACGTGCCTCAGTTTCCGCAAATCAAAACGGGGAAATGAAGTCGGTGTTGTAAAGTGCCTTAGAAGCCTACACACAGTAAATGCTCATTAAATTTTGGACTCTGCTAAATAATTTCCTTCAAGACGCAGGAAGGCAGGCGGAAGGGGCTACGTTAGACACAAACACTCACCGATCTGTGAGGGAGTCAGGCCCTTCTTAGCCAGTTTGTAAATCTGCTCCTTCACGTCATCAGACGTTAACTTCAGCCACTGTTTGTGAAACAAAAAACGGCCTTAGGATGAAAAACCTGAGGCTGTGGCGAGCACAGCGGTCCCCTCCACCCGCAAAGGCGCGCTCCGCGTACGCACAGGTCCCACTCCGGTGCACCTTCTTCCGAGCAAGAGGCCACCCTCATCCCCGGCTTTTCCCCGGTCCCAGCGCGCTACTTACAGTGGGAACGCTGCGACGATAGGGCAAAGCCGACTGGGACAGGCCCTTTCTGAGGACAGAAGCAATCTTGGTGTGAGACTGCGGCTTGTGCTACATCACCCCAGGACACCCCTCCCAACTCGCTCCCCACACTCCCTTCTTCCCCCGACCCCCTTGGTCTAGCCCCGCAATCCTGCTCGGTACCCACACTCACCCGGGAGCATGCATGCGACCCATGATGGCGGCAGGCAAGCAGCAAAAAGAGATCGAGTCTCGGAACGCTGCAGGAAACCACCCGGCACGCAGGAAGTGACCTCACACGTCCCGTACCCTCGCACGCGGGAGGCGGAGCCACGCTGCTCAGCTACCGGCGTTCGCGTGACTACACATCCCGAAATGCCTTTCACTGCCGCTCTGGATTCCTCCGTGGGCCGGACGCGCATCCCGGCATGCACCGGGTTTTGGTCAGGCTCCAGGCCCGGGCGGGAAGTTGAGTCTGAGCCGACTTCCGATCAAAGTTCGCTGCTGCGGTCGCATCTAGAGAGAGCAGTGGTACCCGCGCCGAGATTGTAGTTTCCAGTCGTGGGGCGGGAAGCTTGGAGCCAATAAAGCTGGAGTGATCCGTTATACGCTAGCGCTCATTCGTTAGCCCCTGCCAAGTTTTGTCTTGGCACCGGATGGATCCCTCAAAGTCTGTCCTTGCCCTTAGGAAATTCACAGGCACGGTACGCTGTGATAACTGCTAGTTACACGGAAGTGATGGCGGTGTACCCCACCCAACCTGCGCTTCCATCTATTATTTCTAATTCTCATCTGCCAGGGGAAGAGTTAACTGACGGCAACGACCCGGCCTCAAAGATTTGAATCAGCCTTAGTGCTAGGCAGAGAAGAGCCTATGGAACAAGCCTGCAAAAGCGAGGGAGAAAATGAGGCGCCTCAACTGAGAAAAGGGAGCCACCAATGTGGAAGCTCTTTTACAAAAATGTCCCAATGCTGACACAGTGGGCCAAAGAATGGGCAAATGAAGCAGCTTGTGTATATATATATATATATGGTTTTTGTTTTGTTTTGGCTGGGGCCGGGTTTGAACCCACCACCTCCGGTATCTGGGGCCGGTACCCTATTCCTTGAGCCACAGGCGCCGCCCCTGAAGCAGCTTGTTTTAAAAAAAAGTAAGCATGGCCCCGGCTTTAAGGGAGGCCTGTGAAATTCAGTCAAGTTTAACTGGTGAGAAGTTGAAAAACGAATAGGTACTAAAATATCCACTCTCTTTTAACCTGTTAACAGTTTGATGAATAACTTTTCCCAAAGCATTAGGAATTTCAATCAAATTGGGTACTCAGTTTGGGTAATCTGGGGTTTTTGTCCTAGCAAAGATGCATTCTTATCACTAGACAAATTTATATATTTTTTAGTCCACTTATGGAATAGTTATCATAGACTTAACATGACTCGAAATCCTGACCTCTGACTCTAGCTACCACTCCAGATCCCTTTGTTTTAGTTAAACAGAACCCCATTTGCTAGACCCCTTTCTCATTTCCTTTATTATGTTTTGAGACACTCTGTCACTGTGTTGCCCTCTAGAGTGCCATGACACAGCTCACAGCAACCCCCAACTCTTGGGTTCAAGCGATTCTCTTGCCTCAGCCTCCCAAGTAGCTGGGACTACAGGCGCCCACCACAACCCCCTGGCTATTTTTTGTTGCAGTTGTCAAGCAGAACCTGGCTGGGTTGGAATCCCCTTGCCTTGGTATGGCCGGTGCCTTAACCACTGGCCTGTGGGCACCAAGCTTATCTCATTTCCTTTAGAGTGTGTATCATAAAGACATTCCCTTCTCCCATTTACACTGCTGCCCTCAATCCTAGCCACCATCATCTCTTACCTGGGCAACTCAATGGTATCAACTGTTTGTGCTTTTATTCACATTCCCACTCTAAACATAACCCATTCCCCACCTAGCAAAGTGAGCTTTTAAAAATATAGATTAGGCTCGGGGCCTGTGGCTCAGGTGGCTGGGGCGCCAGCCACATGGACCTAGGGTGGCAGGTTCGAATCCAGCCCGGGCCGGCCAAGACAACAATGATGGCTGCAACCAAAAAATGGCCGGGCGTTGTGGCGGGCGCCTGTGTTCCCAGCTGCTCGGGAGGCTGAGGCAGTAGACTCGCTTGAGCCCAGGAGTTGGAGGTTGCTGTGAGCTGTGATGCCATGGCACTCTACCCAGGGCGACAGCTTGAGGCTCTGTCTCAAACAAACAAACAAACAAAAAATATATCTATATATAGAGAGATATAGATTAATTTGTTACTCCCCTGCTTTCTTAATTCAAAATAAAATCCAGGCCAGGTGCCTTGGCTCAAGCCTGTAATCCCAGCATTTTGGGAGGCGGATGCCAGAGGATTACTTGAGGCCAGGCATTCGAGACCAGGCTGGGAAATCACAAGACTTTCATCTCTACAAAAAAATTTAAAAATTAGCCAGGCAAAGTGGTGTGGGCCTGTAGTCTCAGGTACTCAGGAGGCTGAGGCAGAAAGATCACTTGAGCCCAGGAGTTGAAGGCTGCAGTGAGCTATGATGATGCCCCAGCACTCTCCAGCCTAGGCATGTCTCAAAAAAGGGGGGGAAAAAATCCAGGGTGATGGTGTGTGTCTAGGTCACAGAGTTAGACCCTGTCTCTAAAATATAAATAAAAACTCAAACCCACAGCTTGGCCTTATGAGTTGCCACTCCCCTCTTCTAACCCCATTTGCAAACACTCCAGCCACAGGCACTCTTCTGATCTATCCTTAGAGCCTTTCCTCTTCTGTTGCAACTGCCTGGAGGCTTTTTTCCAAGAGATCTTCTAAAGTCTGGCTTTCATTTTTTTTTTTTTTTGAGATAGAGTCTCATTTTGCCACCCTCAGTAGTGTCCTGGCGTCACAGCTCATAGCAACCTCAAACTCTTGGGCTCAAGCCCAATTCTCTTGTCTCAGCCTCCCCAGTAGTTGAGCCTACAGGTGCCTGCCACAATGCCTGGCTATTTTTTTTTTATTTTTTAATTAAATCATAGCTGTGTACATTAATGCAATCATGGGGTACACTGTGCTGGTTTTACATACAATTTGAAATGCTTTCATCAAACTGCTCAACATAGCCTTCACAGCATTTTCTTAGTTACTGTGTTAAGACATTTATATTCTACACCTCGTAAATTTCACATGTACCCTTGTAAGATGCACTGTAGGCGTGGTCCCACCAATTATTCTTCCTCTCCCCTTTCCCCTTCTTCTTGGGCTATAATTGGGTTATAGCTTTCTTTCATAAGAAAGCTATAAATTGTTTTCATAGTAAAACAGTACATTGGATACTTTTTCTTCCATTCTTGAGATACTTGCCTGGCTATTTTTTTTTAAGAGATGGGGTCTTGATGTTGCTCAGGCTGGTCTCAGAACCTGTGAGCTCAGGCAATCCACCCGCCTTGGCCTCCCAGAATGCTAGGATTATCACCATAAGCCACTGAGGCTGGCCAGATTCATTTGTTTTTAGTAGAGATTCAGCCTGTCTTTTTTTTTTTTTTGAGACGGGAACCTTAAGCTGTCCCCCTGGGTAGAGTACCGTGGCATCACAGCTCACAGCAACCTCCAACTCCTGGGCTCAAGCGAGTCTCCTGCCTCAGCCTCCCGAGTACCTGGGACCACAGGAGCCCGCCACAACGCCCGGCTATTTTTTGGTTGCAGCCATCATTGTTGTTTGGTGGCCCGGGCTGGATTCAAACCCGCCACCTTGGGTGTACGTGGCTGGCGCCTTAGCCACTTGAGCCACAGGCGCCGAGCCCAGGCTGGTCTTGAACTCATGAGCAATACACCAGCCTTGGCCACCCAGAGTGCTAGAATTACAGGCTGAGCCCCCATGCCCAGACTGTTTGGATGTTTTTAGAGGCAATTAACAGGCTACTTGTGAAATTCATGACTACTGAACTCGTAGGTGAGATGCAAAAAAACAAAAATAATGACATTGAACTCATGTTAAAGTGTGGAATCTAAACTGTTAGTATGTGAATAAGGAAAAAAAATAAGTGGAGTTTTTTTATTCCAGAAATATTTTAATACAATTGTAGTACAGTTATAAAGTCACATTCAATTCACTGAATATATTCAAGGTATTAATAAAAAATATTATACATCTTTATTCACTACCTTAATATAATTAAAGCATTTTGGTTCTTATCGCTGAGACTAATTCCCATATTCATATTTGCACTGTAGTCAAACAAAATGTAAGTAAATCTATGGATTATGGTAGTGGGGCTTTAGTCCTTTTTGACCTGAAGTCTAAGTATCAAAGTGAATTTTATGTTTTCTTAAACACCATTAATATTTGAATCCTAGAAAGAACAATCAACCGATTTAAGGCAAGATACTGAAACTTTTATACAACTATAATTTGAAAAAAGGAACATTTTATCAAAGATCATACATGCCTTAACATTTAGATACCTACTGATTTATATAAAGGCAGTTATGAAAATATCAGTGCAAGTTCTACATTGGGTTCCTCGGTAGAGAAAATAATAAGTTCCTGGAGTGAACTATTATCTTCAAATCCCAAAACAGTGGCAAGTAAGAAAGAATTCTTCTGATGCAGGACTTACATGTAGCACAATTACTTTTAGTCATTAAAGATTGGTACAAATATTGTGATTATACATAAAAATTAGGGTCGTGGACAGTTTGTTTCAACTTTTGTTTTTCAGATTTACTTTAATGTAAGCTTTTTAAAAAATTTGAGACTCCAACTGATTTAAAATTGATTGATAGTAATAGTGCAAAAAGGATCTTTGTTTTTATCTTTTGGTACAGACTGAAGATTAGTGTTTCATAACGAAATAACTTATATTAAACTATTTGTAAAATATATGCGTGTGTTTTAATGATCAAAGGCACAAAATGAGTTAAATTAAAACATTACCACTTGTTCTGAACACTTAACTGTACAGTATTAATCATAATATACACTTTTAGATATGAATCCAGATTTCTTATTATTAAAAAGTGATATCACATTTTCTAGATCTATTATCATTTGTGCTAAAAGACATTGCTATAACAGACTGCAAAAAGGCAGTATATGTTGAGTCCAATCAACAATGACCTTTTCCCAAGACAGTACTTTTTTTGTTTTGTACAGTGGCTAAGTGACAACTCATGGAATGGACTTAAGTCTCAAAAGGTTAAGTGAAAATTTCTAGTGTACTTGTAATTGTAAAGCTACTCAAACACTTTCAGGAAATGTTAAAGGTATGTGGAAAAAGCAAATGGTGGTGTTTTGATCTGCATATTAACTTATTAAATAGACAACACATTTTAACATTTTAAAAAAGACATATTATCATACTCACAGGTTTAACTACAAGTGGACCATTAGTGTTAGGCACCAAAAATTTCAAGTTTTTCTTCCACTCTGTTCCTCTGATATATTCTTAACTCTTCTATTTCTGCTCTGCTGGTATCACCATTTACATTAAGCATTTGCACAGTTCAAAAAAATTCTATTGTATTCTAGGCAACTGAATGGAGATTGTCCTTTCTCTCTTGGTACTCCTCATTGCATATTTTGTTAGTTTTCTCACAGCAACCAAATTGGTACAATCTCTATTACCATTTAAAAAGTGTCTGAATTTATATTCTAACTGTGGAAGTTCTCATTTTGTGCATATACATATATATATATTTACCTAAATTAAATAAATGTTAATAAGACAATTTAAGACATAAATTTCCAGAATGGTCTATATTAACATTCAGGCTAAACCCTAAAATTCTTGTCCTAGGCCTCTTGTAAGAGTGCCCTACTCAGGAATGGGTACCTGGCGGGAGAATTTTCACCTGTTAATGAGGGGTTGGAGTAGAGCTACAGAGGTACAGGGATCAAATCTCAATTCACAGCCCTGGGAATAAATGGAGAATTACAATGGAATGATAAAATTTAGTGACAACTACATTATAAATCTTGTTTAGGTACTGGGCAACAAAAATTTAAATCAAATGGCTTGATTGTTTAATTAAGTCACACATCAGAAGTAGAAAAAATTATCTTTTTGTGGGAAAAATATTAGTATATGTACATAATTTCTTGTTCAGTAAGATGAAAGTAACACAAAACTACCTACAATCATTTATCAAATTAGGGAAAAAAGCAGAAATGAAGTGCCAGGGAAGCATACAAAGTTAAGGCACCATTATTTACAACTTCAGTGACTGGCACTTATTCCAAAAAAGGCTTTTTCACATCAGAAAAGATATGAATAAAAATCAATATTATTTCTTCCCTACTTCTATAAACTACTTAGTAGTTCTTAACATAGCTATCTATTATTTGTGCTTTGCTTTTTAGCCCTGTGAATAGCAACTGCATTTTAAGGTAATATCCTGCATCTTTCCTTTACTTTGGTGTTTGAGAACATACACAGTGGTAAAGGCTGTAAAAGGTGCATAAAAAGAAAACAAACATGTTGCTCTATACAGGAAACAATGCAAAATAGGGGCCTGAACAGATATAGTACTGTCTCAAAGTCTTTTTCGGGACTTAATATATATTAAGTTTAGGGTTTATAGCATACAGCATAATGACTTGAAAATAGCAATGGCTTTCAAAAATTCATAAAGGTTAGTTATGTGTCTGTTGGTCCAACAGATGTGTTGAAATTTAACTTTGTAATATTTGTCCAAGTATAAAAATACTATACAAAGTTTGTATGTGTGCATGTGCACACAAGTTTATAAATGTTCTTGTTTCCAAAGCTCAGAATTCATTAGTTTACAAGTAAGTTGCTGCAGTCAGCTGATACCACTTAACAGTCTCTTTGCTCAAGTTGAAATCTTTCAGAGGCAGCGTTATTCCACCCAAGAAAAAATTTTCCCGCAGAGATTCTGCACTGAGTACACTTAGTTGAAGTTCTCTCTGTCTGAGAGTTTCTTTGCTATATCCACTGTATACAAGCTATAGCAAAAGAAAAAAGGAACAGTAAATTACAAATTAAACTTTTTAGGGGTGGGGAGGTGAGGAATAAAAAGTTACTTATCAGAACAATGAACACTCTTCTGGTGATGGGTTTCTTGGAATAATAAATTAATTTATTGTTACTTTTTGAGAGAGAGTCTCACTTTGTTGCCTAGGCTAGAATGCTGTGGCATCATAGCTCATAGCAACCTCAAACTCTTGGGCTCAAGTGATCCTCTTGCCTCAGTCTCCCAAGTAGCTGGGACTACAAGTGCCCGCTACAATGCTAAGCTAATTGTTCCTATTTTTAGTAGATACAGGGTCTCCTTCTTGCTCAGGCTGGTCTTGAACTCCTGAGCTCAAGAGATCCTCCCTCTCAGTCTCCCAGAGTAGTAGGATTACAGGCATGAGCCACCACACCCAGCTGATTTCTTGGAATATTTTAAGTGAAAACATGAGGATTTTAGCCAAAGAGTGATTATAATGAATGACATTGATTATTGACACATCTAGTGGGATTTGCCTCAATACTATTTTGATTTAAACTCTCATATCACATTTAACACTTAGAATTATTATTTTTTAAGAAAGCCTCATCACAGTTCTGAGAAATACCTCCTTAATTTAGTCCTTCTCATTGTTTGGCTAAAATAACTACAAACAAAACAAAAACTGACCACATTTTATTTTGTTGATGGCACCAGACAACTCAGGGGAAAAAAGCCAATATACAACTTTTTGAGATTAATACAAATTGGTCTTTACCAAGAATTGTATATGCTTTTACAAAAGTAAAAGGATCTTGTATGGGTTTTAATAAATTCATAACATGGATGGAAATTCAGAATTATATGCTACCAATTGCTAACCATTTTTATGTAAATATAATATTAACATACACAAATAAAATGTTTTTCCTAAAGAAATAGTTGAATAAGAGGGACGAGGGGACTTCAGCAGGTTTTAATAGGTAAGTTTATATGCTGACCATGGGTATCTCAGCAAAGTCACAGTGCTCAGCTGCTGCTCTGCTTATTGCTTTTAATTTTGAGCACTCTATTGGGTTATTAACAGAGTAAAACATAATTAAAGGAGAATGAAGGTAAAAGTATTAAAGGTGTTTTAAAAAAATAATTCTGAAGGATATTTGAACTTCACTTGTCTGAGCTGCTCCCACATGGAAGTAGTTCTATGTGGCTCTAAGAGATACAACCAAGACTCCACAGATGCCATAGAGTCAAGATTTCAGCTTCACATTACAAATAATCTAAGAGGTAGAGCTGCTCAGATAAACTGGATAGCCTGAAAATATTTAAAAACAGATTGGACAACCACTTTTTGAGAATATACATATATTATTATAGGAGGGGTTCATGCACGTAAGGACAGCTGAATTATACTTCCCTAAGGAGTACGACTGAGAGCGCTATTTTACACCACCAGAATACTATTGATTTACTTTTTTATAACAAATAGTTTAACAACTGATACCTAAAAACTTTAAATTAAAAATGTTTTAAAATTTAAAGTCTCAAACTAACCAAAGAAACTTCTAGAAATGATTTTAACTTACCATTTCATTAAATGTTGGATTCCTCGTTTTTCGTGAAATTTTGGTTTTACGTTTGGATGTTTTGTGAGTATCTGGAAGTAGGTACGTTTTGACATAGGGATTTGGGTCAGCCCCATCTTCAGTAACCTATAAAGAAAAGCAGTCCCTTAACAGTAATGCTTCCTACCAACATATGAGTTTCCTCTACAATCATCATTATTTGTAATCACTCACAAGATCTTTGATGTGCATCACCATGATGAAAAGAGTACCATTTCGGTAAGAGACAGATAATTTCACTGCTCCTCCTATTTGGCCTGGAGTAGGACTGAAGGGACCTGCATCTGAAAAGATAGATATTTTCATCTTTATTATATCCAGCTTATAGTGGCCCAAGCTGCAATAAAAGAATTTTGCTTTACTTCCAAGATCATCACATGTAGTGGGGGCAAAGAGGAGGGAAAGAAGAGTAAAGAACCTGGTAAGGCCACTGGTTTACACTTCTTTGGTAATCATACTCTATTAGGAAAGTTATTTTTATCCAGAAATAGACCAGCTTAGAAAGAATACCCTCCTCCCATCCTCACAGACTACAGCCAGTATGCCCACTCTCTGCCACATTCATTGAAAAGTGACAGACTTGCAGGTCGTAAGTTACCAACAGCAACAATAAAAACATCTCACCTGCAGACCTAGCTATTCCTTCAGCTTTCTCATCACGAAGTAAAGGGTGAAAAAAAGTACAAACAAGGTCACACTAAGATTCAAGAGAAAAAAGATTCATTAGCTTAAAGATTATATAGAATAAAAGATGTTGTAAATTAATGCTTCTCATTTAGGAAGGTCACCTCTGCTACATCTGTTGAAGCACTCATCAAACTTTGTAAATAACTGTTTAACTCAATTTTTCTTTTGGCTGCTACATCTTTGATGTGTGTTCTTCCTAGAACCATCCTATTAGGAAAGCTAAAAAAGAAAAACAAAAACAAATGGGATTTAAGTAACCAAGTACAACATTTACTTAGAAATATACTTAAATACTTATATACTTAAAGCGGGATTTAATCTATTATAACTTTTTAGGATTTCTCTTCCAAGTACTAGAGATGAAACAGTTCAATTACCCTTATCCTTTTATGAGCCTTCATAGAAAAGGCACGTTTTGCTAACTTGCTGTATTTATTACTTATTTTCTACTATTTCTTCTCAAATTTTTTAACCATTCACAAATATTTCATCCAGATCTGATTTCTAAAAGAATCATTACTTTACTTGTTCAGTCATAGCTATCGTAGATACCAGTAAAATCCACCAATAAAAATAAAGGGCCTAAATAAGGTACTAAAAGGATAATCTCAATTCCAGGTATTTTGGCGGCAGCGGGAAAGATGAGACTGCATATGGAAACAAACTCTAATATCCACTTTGCTTTCTTCTTACTTTTGAAATCTAATCTGGTAAGAATATGAACAACTTGACACAAGAAATCTGGTCATTAAGCTACATTAAAACAGGAGCTAGAGGTGTGAAGCTGGCTCCTTGGTGTTGCTTTGCTGCAACTGCCATTTGCCATGTTGATCATTCTCTTCTTTTGGGAGCTTAAGGAGGAAAAAGACACAGTCTGAGGGTTCTCATTTACATAAAAAATAAGCAAAAACAAACCCCTGAGAATTTCCAAAGGATATCAGATACATGTAATAAAACTAAGCACTAAGATTTTAATTAACAGGCCCAATGTTTGGCTTAGTATGGCCCATAGTGGATTACTTCTATATTGATTTAGAATTTGACTTTTTTTTTTTTTTTTTTTAAAGATAGTCTCACTCGGCTCGGCGCCTATAGCTCAACTGGCTAAGGTGCCAGCCACGTACACCTAAGGTGGTGGGTTCGAATCCCCAGCCCAGACCCGCCAAACAACAATGACGGCTGCAACCAAAAAATAGCCGGGCGTTGTGGCGGGCGCCTGTGGTCCCAGCTACTTGGGAGGCTGAGGCAGGAGACTCGCTTGAGCCCAGGAGTTGGAGGTTGCTGTGAGCTGTAATGCCACGGCACTCTACCCAGGGGGACAGCTTGAGGCTCTGTCTCAAAAAAAAAAAAAAAAAAAAAGATAGTCTCACTCTGTTGCCTGAGCTAGAGTGCAGTGGTGTCATCATAGTTCCCTGCAGCCTCAAACTCCTAGGCTCCAGTGATCCTCCTGCCTCAAGCTCCTGAGTAGCTTAGACTATAGACATGCACTACCACATCTCGCTTATTTTTCTGTTTTATGTAAAACACTATGTATGTTGCTCAGTCTGGAAGAATCTGACTCCTTTAACCAAGATTCTAAATTATCACCTTGGTTGCGTACTATGGACTGTGGTAGAAATGGCAAAGTCAAAAGCTTCAAATGAATTAGAATTCTGGAAAATCATGTATCTTAATTTCATTATCCTTGTTTCATATCATTGTTTATTCATTCAACAAAACTTACAGTTCTTATGTATATCTAGTTTGGTATTAAACTCATGTGATGCAAAGGGAAATAACCCAGATGTGTCCATAGAAAGCTTTTCACCTACATTGATAGCAAACTGTTTCTTAAAAAAAGGATTAACGTACAAGGATGAGAACGTACCCTGGTAACTTCCACAGTGGAAAAATAATACTGAGCTTATTATGAAGTTCCTGAAATTCATCAAATGTCCGGAAAACAAATGATGGTTCAAGTTGTCCTTCCCTCAAAATTCGGACTACATAAATCTGAAAAGAAATCACAGCCCAAACACATCAAACTTATAATAAAACCTTCTTTCCTGACAGAAAAGTAATTTATAGTTTGATCGTTGTATGTAACTTGCTAAGAATATATGTCAATAGAAAACAGCAAAATAAAAGTACTTGTATTTACAGCATATCTAACTACATTCTAAGAGGGGATCAAAACCTCTTAAAGATAAACCAACTATAAATTGAAAGTGAAAGCCATTTTATTTCCAGGATTAAATAATGTAATTTCCAAATCTACAAATTTAATGCAATTCCAATGAAAATGTTAATACAAAAGTTCATTTAAGAAAGTCAATAGGAACAAAAGCAAAAAGTTTATGGAGGTAAAGGAAAACTTGCTTGGATATTTAAACTATTATAAAGTTATAATACTTTAAAGAATACTGGTAGAGAAAAGGCCAGATATTGGTATAGAAGACCAATAAAATAAATTCAGGAGGCTTGGTACCCATAGCACAGTGGTTATGGCACCAGCCACATACACTGAGGGTGGTGGGTTTGAACCCAGCCCGGGCCAGCTAAACAACTGCAACAATAAAAAAAAAAAAAAAATAGCTGGGTGTTGTGGTCAGTGCCTGTAGACCCAGCTACTTGGGAGGCTGAGGCAAGAGAATCACTTAAGTCCAAGAGTTTGAGGTTGCTGTGAGCTGTGACATCATGGCACCCTACCACAGGTGAGACAGTGAGACTCTGTCTAAAAAAAAGAAAGAAAGAAATTCAGGAACAGTTATATAAATTTTGTATATTTAATGGTGTTATTATCAATTGGGGGGAAAGAATAGACTATTCAATAAAATGATGTGAGGATAAAATAATAAACATGGGGTGGCGGCTGTGGCTCAAAGGAGTACGGTGCCAGCCCCATATACCAGAGGTGGTGGGTTCAAACCTGGCCCTGACCAAAAAAAAAACCTGCAAAAAAATAAAAATAAACATATAAAAAGGTATTAAAATTCACTAACAAATAGGTAAAAATTAAAATAGTGAAATAGCTTTCTAAAAACTATCAATTTGTCAAAAAATTTAAAAGCTGACAGTGCTGGAAAGTATTATCTAACAAAAATATTAGCATAAGGATGAAAAATAACAGCAAGAAAGAGGATAATTTTATAATCTTGGGGGGGGAGTATACTGAAGATCTTGGTTTTGTTCAAAACCAAACTGCAAGTTTTTATATGAGACAGTAACATAGGAACTTGGACTTTTCACTTTGTATACTTCTGTGTTGGTGGAATTTATTATAAGGAGTAAGTTTTATCTTTGAAATTAAGAAAAAATTGAACATAAAGGAATGAGAAAAGCAGAATAGCACCATCCTTTAGCCTTTTCTCTAAAAGGTACAGTATGACACGGTCCTCAATTTTTCCAGACTAGCAAGAAACCCCCCACCCCCCTCCACACACACACACACAGTTAGAGATGCTTTGAGTACATTTGCTTTTTGCTGGAACATCCAAAGAAGAAATTAAACATAAAATAGAACAACAACTGCTTAGAACTTTAGCCGAGTCAGCAAAAACGTACACATGATTGTCTACAAATATTGAAATCAAACTTACATAATGTTTATCTGGGTTATATTTCTTATGATATGTGAAAACAGAGACTTCCTTGATTCGACCATCTTGTCTAAAGGAGTATGTTTTGGGTGAAAATGAAAGGATGGGCTCATCATTAGAAGGAAGACCAGAAAAACGAAGCTGAGCAAGGTTGTGAATGAAGAAGTTAAACTTTGTGGCAATGCTTCCCAAACTTGACTCAATCAGCCTACAAAATAATCAGAAAACCTGTTAATAGTAAATGTTAATGAGAATACATGGCAAATTCTTTCAACATAGTAAAAGATGAAAAGCACTTTCACTCCTTTTAAAATATTAAGCAGATTCTCACTTTACCAAGGATTCCCTTTGTTCTATAAGCCAAAGACTTAAAATACAACTCACCCCAACAAAAAAATTCAGCCTAAGAAAGAAATAATGCTTGGTTTTCTTTAGCCCTGTGGGGTGCAAGACTAATTAAAGAGCTATTAGGGTAGAAGGTAATTGGTATAATGCTAGAAAGATTATTCTATTCCCTTATAGTAAAGGGAAAAGTGACAACTTAACAGGTATGAAAGAAATCATTCAAAGTAATCCAAATTTTAAAAAATTCTCTTCTGTCAAATAGTAGAATAGTAGAAGTTGGTGTCAGACTCCTTCAGGTAATCATAAATCCCCACTCAGGTGGGGAAAAAGTTTTGATAGGATGGGTAGTTTGGAAGGTAGGCCTAGACAGAATTTTAAGCAAGCCCAGGAAACAAAAAGTCACACAAACAGGGTTAAGGAAGCCAGAAGGACAAAGGAGATTCAAGAGAGAAGTAAGAGAGCCTCAACTATAGGCTTCTGCCTCAGGAAGGACTGAGTGTGTTCCCTCCAATTAATATTCTGAAGCCCCAATCCCCAAAGTGGGTTTGGAGTAGGGCCTCTATGCAGGTCATTAAGGTTAGAGGAGGTCATAAACAGTACAGCTCTGATCCAATAGGGGCATCCTTATAAGAAGAGATGAGACAGCCCAGTCTCTCTTTCCCCCAGATGAGGACACAGGGAGAAGGTAGATCACATCTGTGATCTAGAAAGGGAGCCCTCCCCAGGAACCTGACTGGATGGCACCCTGATATTGGACTTCCGAGCCTCCACAACTGTGAGAAAATAAATTTCTGTTGTTTAAGCCGCCCAGTGTATATAGTATTTTGTTATGAAAGCCCAAGCAGGCCAATGAATAAACTGTATGCCTGCTTTGTAGTTTTGCCCAGGGGAGCCAATGAATCTTTTAAAAAACAAAACAAAAGAAAACCCATCAATACCTAAATTGTCAGGATTAGTTTGGAAGGCTATACAAAAGTCAGCTTCCTTCAATTCATTTCAGCCCAGACTCTTGAGACTAGGGAAGTCCGGTCCAGTGTTTTATACCTCTTCTCCACTGAGAGGAAGAAGGCAAGAGAAAAAGGAGAGAAAAGAACAGGAGGTCTTGCCTCCCTCCCTGCTGTGGTGTTATGATGAGGTGGCAGCAGTGGTCAGTGACCAACGAGATCATCAGACCCTTAGAGCATATTTATCAGGAAGATGTTTTTAAAGCAGCAACAAATTCAAATGCCAGTCATTGGTACAGGGATATGAAGTACTATGTCATAACAATTTACTGTAGCAGTGCCTAGAGTTTGCTGTTTTAAGCACTTAGGTATTCATGAAAATTGTTATGGCAAAATAACAATTACTAAAAACAGAAAAACAGATCACTACAGATATCATTTTAGAAAAAAACAGTAAAGAGATAATATGGAACTGTAGAAAACATGTTTCTCAGAAACAGTTCACAAGTTCTTATCACTGAAATCATATAGTAAATAAACCTGAGATCACAGATCTTTTGGGAAATAAAGGTAATGTTTAAAGTGTTAGTGAAAATTATATTTTTTTCAGTAAATGTTTGACAACCTACTATTTGCTAATATTCTGAATCACACTTTTCTTCCTTTAAATCAGAATTTTGATGTGTAGAATTTGTTTACACAAAGGTAAAACAAACCAAAACCAAATTGTATGTGACTTCTCCAAGTACTTAACTATGCCTTACCTAGTAAAGAAAATGGTAGCTTCTGCATCTGTAGTTTGGGGTTGAAGTGCATCTCTAACATACTTCAAATCCTGAATACTTGTAAGTTCCGGTAACCCTGAAGGAATCATCTGTAGGAGAAAAAGAAAATGTTTTGTGGGTTATGTTTTTTTAAAATCTGTTCCCCACCCCTTCCTGCTGGCTAGTTAAGTAATCAGAACTAAAGCAACCAAAAACAATCACAGTTTTGAGGAGTTTACCTAAGTAATGAGAAAATCAAGGCCAAGGAAGTCAAGTGATTTGTTGGAAGTCACAAAGCCAGTTATGGAATAAAGCAGTAAAAGCCAGACCTCCTACTGTCTAGGCCTCTGTTTTCATTACCACGTCAATTTCAATCACAATAATCATACTGGGTTTTTTTGATTTTGTGTTTTACTTTTTACCTATGTGTGACATATATCCAGAAAACTTTAGTGTATAGCTTAAAGAATGTCAATTAGGTCAATTAGGTCATCAGCATCCCAGGTCAATTAGGTCAATTAGGTCATCAGCATCCCAGAGGTCCCTCTTGAGTTTCACTTAACTGCTATTCCCCACCCCCAGGGTAGCCACACTACTGGCTTATTTTTTATATTTTATATAAGTTGAGTCAGATAGTAAGTATTCCTGTGTCTGGCTTATTTCAAAGAGCAGTAACTTAAAATTATTTCAGTAATAATTTATTATCTGACATTTATGACTACAGCAAAAATTTTATTCCAAAAATATCCTTTTTAAGTACTGAAACACAGATGCATTAATGTAAAGCTAATTAAACGCATATAAAGAACAGTTACCAGTGAAAGGAGGTTAAGAAAGAGGTTTGTTTGCTTTCTTATCAAGTTGTAGGCCTGACAGCAGAGGTCCACAAACAACTGGAAACGAATGGTGGGCTTTTCACCCCCATTAATGACATATGCCATATCAGAGGTCAGCACAAAAGGAGCCCGATCCCTATTTACAATAAAAGTGCAAAGTATTATTTACAAAAGATATTCAAATAGTGCTACTGCTATTACACAGTTATCGGACTAAGCTCTCTGGGCTATAGCAATTTCTGAGGAAACTTTATAACAGGCACTTTGAATTTCAATAATTCTTTAAACATTTACATTTTCAAGAAAGCTATCACATAATCATCTCATTATCTAGATTGAATTTATATATGAAATTTTTTCCAAGGTGAAAAAATTCCACACCCAAAAAAGAGACCAAACAGTAGGAAACAAACATACAAAAACCTGTACTCATTGCTATTACACAAACTGAACCATTTCTAGTAGTTACTGCTAACTTGATAAAATAGAATATACCTTAATTCTTTTCAACAAAGTTTACACACACACATTCTTTTCTACTATGTGGTAAGGTCATTTCTTCAGGCCTTTTTCCTCCCCAGTTATGCTCAAAGGGAGCCACAGACCAAAAAAAAAAAAAAGGCAAGAAAAAGGCAAGGTTTGGGACATTAACTTGTCAAACGAAAAGTGCCCTTTCCACTTAACAATAGCAATAATAACAAGATTAGTACCTTTTAAAGCTACCAAACATCTGAGCATGCCCCAAAAACTTTCCAAAGTCAATGTGAAACATGTGTCCTGTGCTTCGAAGCATTATATTGTCATTGTGTCGATCACAGATGCCTAAAACATAGGTGGCCACACAGCATCCAGCACAAGAATAGATAAAATTCTCTGAAGCCTGTTAGAAAAGATACAAAATTATTTTACGAAAAAAAATATTTTTAAAGGAGGCAGGGTTTATAAAAATTAAAGTAATTCATCACTCTTTAAAAAACACTATTGTAATCCACTCTCTCAATAGCATATAAATTAGGATATAGTAATAAAAGCCAGTTTTTCCATATTTCAATATAAAACCATCCTTTTAAAGCGGTTGCTGACCTTTTTCTAGTTTTTGTCTTACCAAAGGCAGGGGGATCCCTAGTCCCTTCTTAGGCTACATACTGCCTTTGAACAGCATTTAAGCATCTTGTTTGTGGAATCCTGTTCCTCACACTCTGCTGCTTACCACAGGTGACATTATTGGGACAAAAATTAATACAGATAGAAGAATATTTGGCGGGTGTTTTTCTCTGCCTGTAGGGAGGACGTGTGTAAAGAAAATATCATAAAATATCCAATAACACAACTAATGTGTATCATTTTCCATTTCCTGACTCCCTGTAAGTTTTCAAGGCTAGAGGCCTTTCATTTTCACATGGCCTCCTGCGTACACCATAGAAAAGTATGCAGGGCCAGGTTCTAACTCTAGTAGTCTGCTTCCACATGGCAGAGTGAAGTCATTTGGTTTTTTTACTTTTGGTTGCACTACCTGGTTTATAGCTCACAGCAACACTGTTCCTTAATGAGTACCTCCACCTCAATTCTGTGACTGTGTCCTGCCCATGCTAGGGATTACTAACTTACTAATATGGTATCATACACAATGATACAGCAAGATGAATGCAATGAGGATTTTTATCTAATACATGTATATTTGGTTTATTTTCAAAATACAATATTTCTGAGCAGTACGTTTATGGCTCTACTTGTCCATGTGGTTAATTCTATCCCAGAATTCCCCAGAAATCATTACCCATGATAACAGCAATGCTGACACAGTACTTACCATAAACCAAGTACTCTCTCTCTCTCCCTCTCCCCCCATATACCTTAACTCATTTAGAGTCTCATAACAAATGAACGACTGAGGTGCTATTATTACCACCACTTTACAGATGAGAGAAACTGAAACATAGAGATGTTATTTGCCTAAGATCACATAATTGTTTTTTTTTTTTTTTGAGACAGAGCCTCAAGCTGTCCCCCTGGGTAGAGTGCTATGGCTTCACTGCTCACAGCAATCTCCAACTCCTGGGCTCAAGCGAGTCTCCTGCCTCAGCCTCCCAAGTAGCTGGGACCACAGGCACCTGCCACAACGCCCGGCTGTTTTTTGGTTGCAGCCATCATTGTTGTTTGGCGGGCCCGGGCTGGGGATTCGAACCCGCCACCTTAGGTGTATGTGGCTGGCGCCTTAGCCGTTTGAGCCACAGGCGCCGGGTACTGCATTTTTGACAGTTACTTAGAATAAAGAGACTCACTAATTACCTTTTCATATTCTTCTTCAGAGGGATTGTACTTCCTCAGCCACTCTGCAAGTGGTTTATCTTTAAAGGATCCTGTCACACCATATTCCACTTGGATTTTCCTGAGGGTATCTGAAGCAGGAACTAACTCCACCATGCCTTTAAGAAAAAAACATTAAGCTACGTGAAAATGTCTACCAAAAGCAAGCCTTTTAAAAATTTATAGTTTTCTATCTTCTACACTGGCTGCCAACTGTCACTTTCAAAAAAATTAAATCTGGCAGGCCATGCTAGAAAATATGAGCAATCAGAATTATTTTTTTCTTTTTTTTCTAACTAAATACTATTTTATTAAATTGAGGCAGGGAAAGAGAGAGAGTCAGAGTAAAACCAGAGTTGTAAATTCTCATTTCAAAATTATTTTTTACTTTTAAAAGTACCCAACATGTAAAAGTTGCATATCTGTAAAGTTGATTTTGACCATTTGAGACTCTAGTCTATACTCCTCTGTGTTAATCTCCTAAGGATAATAAATTTAATTACAAACCAGATGATACTAACATAGATGGTAAAGTTACTTACAAGATACACACTGTCCTCTTTTGGCACACACAAAAAAACATGCGCTAATTATGCATTTGGGTAAGATAAGAATGTTTCAGAGTATATTAAGGCTTTACAAAGGGAGGAACAGATAAAGATTGACCTTGTGACATACTTAAGTCTTAAGTATCTGTTTTGTCTTCCTATCATGAATATAAATGCCTGGCTTGGCAATTTTCTTTTTTTTTGAGGAAGAGTCTTTCTCACTCTTGGTAGAGTTCCAGGGCATCATAGCTCATAGCAACCTCAAACTCTTGGGCTTAAGTGATTCTGTTGCTTCAGCCTCCCAAGTAGCTGGGACTACAGGCGCCTGCCACAATGCCCAGCTATTTTTAGAGACGAGCTCTCTGGCTCAGGATCGTCTCAAACCTATGAGCTCAGGCAATTCACTGCCTTGGCCTTCCAAGTGCTGGGATTACAGGCGTGAGCCACTGATCCTGGCCTTCCCTATCTCTTTTTAGACAAATATCAAACATACATGTGATACATGTATTTATGCATAAAAAATACAATGAGATAGGTTTCTATGTGCTTAGACAAAAAAATCTCAAAAATAATGTTATTTAAAGACAAAATCCAGATAAAGAATTGTGCCTTTTGTTTAAAAAGACTATTGTGCAGGCTTGGCACCTGCAGCTCAAGTGGCTAAGGCGCCAGCCACATACACCTAAGGTGGCAGGTTTGAATCCAGCCCGGCCTGCCAAACAACAATGACAGCTGCAACCAAAAAAAAAACCAGCCAAGCATTGTGGCGGGCGCCTGTGTTCCCAGCTACTTGGGAAGCGGAGGCAGGAGACTCGCTTGAGCCCAGGAGTTGGAGGTTGCTGTGAGCTGTGATGCCTCTGTGACAGCTTGCGGCTCTGTCTCAAAAAAAAAAAAAGACTATTGTGCCCATTAGAATATACACAAAATACTCCTAAGAGGATATGTAAGTGGTTATATTGTAGGATTAGGATGCCTAGGATTGAGGATGAATGTATGAAAGGGCAGATTACTTCTCTATTTATTCTATTATGTGCTATCTGGATGTTTACTATGCACATATATATTATTTATATAATTTCAAAATTATTTATATATTTTGAAAATAAAAGAGATGCAACAGGGTCAAAAGATATGGAAACAAAGAGCTGTCTAAGACAAAGGATTGGAGGAACACAGTTGACCAAGACCTCTAAGGCCCCCTGATGTTAAATATGCCAGGACAGGTTCTCTTTCTAGTAGTCTGGTTACACATGGGAGAGTGAGCTCATTTGGCTCTTTTATTTTTGGCTGCACCACCTAGTTTATGGGCAGAGTGGTAACTGTCCTCAATGAGTATCTCCATCTTGATTTCATTACCCTATCTAATCATCGTGCATAAAACAGTGAACAAAAAGTTCATAGAATTTACAAAGTACTACAATCTAGAGTAAGAGATAGTCGAGCCCTGTAGAAACTTACAGTCAATCAAGGAGAAAAAAACAAAACATGCAGAAAGAGAAATTAAGTAAGGTAATATAAAATAAACGTCTGGAGAGTATTAAAAACAATTGTTCAGGCAGCACCTGTGGCTCAATGAGTAGGGCGCTGGCCCCATTTACTGAGGGTGGTGGGTTCAAACCCAGCCTCAGCCAAATTGCAACAAAAAAAATAGCCAGGTGTGGTCCCAGCTACTCAGGAGGCTGAGGCAGGAGAATCGCCTAAGTCCAGGAGTTGGAGGTTGCTGTGAGCTGTGATGCCGTACTCTACTGAGGGCAACAAAGAGACTCATTCTAAAAAAAAAAAAAAAAAAATTGCTCAGTTCAAAGAAGGGAGAGAAATTATAGGCTGAGAAGTCTGTGAAAAACTTCAAGGAGGATGTAGCTGCGATTTCTTCAAATGAAAAACAAGAAAACATGGGCTGTGCCCATACCTCAGTAGGTAAGGGTGCTGGCCACATATATCGGAGCTGGCAGGTTTGAACCCAGCCCAGGCCTGCTAAAACAACAATGATGACTGCAAAAACAACAACAAAAAATAGCTAGGCGTTGTGGCAGGTACCTGTAGTCCCAGCTACTTGGGATGGTGAGGCAAGAGAATCACTTAAGCCTAAGAGTCTGAGGTTGCCACAGCACTCTACCCAGGGTGAGAGCTTGAGACTCTGTCTCAAAAAAGAAAGAAAGAAAGAAAAGAAAGAAAGAAAGAAAGAAAAGAAAAAGAAGAAAACAATGAAATTAACCCAAATGAATACTGAGTTATGAATGAGATAGGTATTTCAACTTAAGTTGAAGTTGTATGTACGTTGAAACACTTAAATTTACCTATCACTCTGTTAGTAAGTGCAAGTCATGTATCAGGTGGATGCTTGCAACTCAGGGACTGCCTGTAGCTTAGCATAGATACAGAGCACTCAACCATTAGCTATAAACAACATAAAAACAAGGGGAATTTGAGCTTACAAAGTCACAAGAGTTCCAGAAAGAGAAAGAGGAAGAAGTTCAACCTATGAACAAAGTGTGGTAACATAAAACTAATTGAGATTTTTTAAAGATATTGTTTGTTTATTTATTTATACTTATGAGACAGAGTCTCACTCTATTGCCCAGGTTAGAGTACCGTGGCATCAGCCAAACTCCTGGGCTCAACCAATCCTCCTGCTTGGTCTTCCAAGTAGCTGGGTCTATAGGTGCCTGTCACAACACTCAGCTAATTTTTCTATTTTTAGAAGAGACAGAGTCTCTCGCTCTTGCTCAGGATGGTCTGGAACTCCTGAGCTCAAAGAGCTTCCCAACTTGGCCTCCCAGAGTGCTAGGATTGTAGTGTGAGCCACCAAAACTAATCTAAGTAAGATGACAGGCTACTATTGAGTAGTCTTCCTTGATAAAACACCCTCCATCTTACAAAATCCATATGAAAAACAACCAGCAAAAAATCATAAATTGATCAGATTTCCTTTTTTGACAAGATAAAGTGTGCACATCCAAACTTGATAATGGCTCTCATGCTGTCCTGATGGATAAAATGGAGAAATGTAGAGTGGCTGATAATACAACTAAGATGAGTTAACTAACTAAAATACCGTAGCTGATTTAGCAATCATCTGAGTGGCGTTCTCCAGTGGCATTCCACAGGGTTGATCTTTGGCCCTTTCTTGGTAAACATGTTTCACAATGACTTAGAAGAAGCTACAGAATATACATGTTTCAAAATGTTTATAACATAAACTAAGAGGTTCAATGACAGATAACAAAAATCAGATTTAAACAGAACTCAAGACGGTGGAAAGTAGTGGATCAAATATAAAAAGTTAATAGTTTTCTTTTTTTTTCTTTTTTGAGACAGAGCCTCAAGCTGTCCCCCTGGGTAGAGTGCCATGGCTTCACTGCTCACAGCAACCTCCAACTCTTGGGCTCA